ATAAAAATGTAATTTTCAAATGTGATAAATATTTTGGGTTTTTTTTGTCATTGATCTGTTTTTTAAATTAAATTTTTTTTTTTTTTTTGTTTTTAGAATATATTCAGAACAGGTTTGCATGCTTGCACGAATACTTTCAGTTATGGTCTAATTATTCCTTTAAGGTGTATTTCTTTATATTGAAGAAGTTCTGGGTCTATTCTAGTATGCTAGACTGACACCTCCTATAGTATTAATTTGAAGTGCAGTGCTTCCCAACAGGATTGATGGTTATAAAAAGAGCTGGTGCCCCAAATGCCTTCCTTCTTGTGAACTTACCCTGGTTTTCTGGCATCTCAGTGCATCTATGAGCCCTCATCCCTATCCAAGAGAGTGGCTAGAAGTGAACTCCAGCTTTATGAAATGCCTTAGGGAGGACCTGAAGAAACTTAGCCAACTTTAGTCTCCCAGGCTCTCCAGCCCCTTGTCTCCTAGTATACAGATACCCTGAGTCCAACACACAGACACAGAATTTACCTAGAATACTAGCTGCTCTGATGCTGGTCTACAGAAGTAAAAAGCTATATGACATAAAGTTCTTTCATCAAAAATCGTTATTAAAATAGAGGATGATAAGAGCAAGATTAGAGTAGACTACCATACCCAGAGACAGGACAGGACAGGACAGGACAGGACAGGACAGGAGCTTCTGACTCAGCCTGAGAAGAGACAAGAGCAACACAGACAGGACAGGACAGGACAGGACAGGACAGGACAGGACAGGACAGGACAGGACAGGACAGGAGCTTCTGACTCAGCCTGAGAAGAGATAGGTGCAACACCGCTCCAGGAGTTGTCTAGAACCTGTGGCACTTTCTGAAGCTCTGTCCCATACCGTGATAGCCTTCCTGACCACTTAACATAACTGGCAGGAAGCATCAGCCCTGCTATAATCCCCTGCATAGTGTTTTCTCCCTTTTCTCTTCTCTCTCATCTCACTAGGAGAGATTGTTTTGTTTCTACCTATACCTCTCTGCTCTATTTCATTCTGACCCCCTCCGAGTCAGTGTATCACTTACCTAGTCTCTTGAGTATTTAAACTAGTTTCTTGTTTCATCATTTATACTTCCATCAGTCTACACTTTTTATCATTTATTAATTCTTTTCAGTCCCTTCTTTGCATCGCTCTCTGCAAATTCCCCTTTCAAATTCGGGTGGCTTTCACTACTCTTCAGTGACCAGCACAGGTTTTCTTCATTTCTTTAACTTCATTTTCCTTCAGCATTTTGTAACAAGCCTTCTTTTCTCTCTACTCAGTACAAGAATTTTCATTATTTTTACTGGATTATTTTGCCTCTCAGTCTCCATTTGGTCCATTCTTATCTTGTTTGTTTTCTCTGGAATATTTGGGATCTGTGGCTAGTATATCTCTCTTTGATGTCAGTCCTCCTCAGCTTCAGTAAACCATGCTGTCTTGCTGTCTTAATGGTTGTCATCCATGCTTCAGTGACCTTACCACTTCATGCTTCTGAAGTACATGTGTGCCTTGGGCTCTGTTTTCAATTCTCATTCTTTGTATCAATGTTACTTTTCATTTGTATTGAGCACTCATTAAGAAGATGGTGTTCATGGCCTATGAGAATCTCAGATTAGTTTTTCCAAAGATACTAAAAAATAACTTGTCAGGAGTAGAGTCATAATTGTTGTCTCTAACCCAGTGTGTAAGCCTGCATATTTTCATCCCTGTCCTATACTGATGAGAAGTCGTACTGCCTACCTTATACTCTGGTCTAAAATGAAAGAGACACTCTTAAGCCCTATGCTTTCCTTAAAGCCCATGTCATCTCACTGGCATTTCCTTTTCTGTCCAATCCTCTTGCCTCCATTTAGAACTCATATATTCTATCTTAAAAAATTATTTTATCAGTATTGGTAGTTTGGCTGCATGCATGTCTGTGTCCATGTATGTGCCTGATACTAATGTAAGCCAGAAAAGGGCATAGGGTCCCTTGAAAACAGAGTTATAGATGGTTGTTAACTACCCTGTGGGTTCTGGGAATTGAACCCTGGTCTTTGGAAGAGCAGCCAGTTCTTGTGACTGCTGAGCCATCTCTCTGGTCCCCTAAGCTTATCTGTTTTTTACATAGGCTGCTGTAGCATCTCCTTCTGCAACTCATAGGCTTCTAGATCATAATTTAAAGCTCATTTTTACTGTAATTGTCATATTAGATTGATAGCTATATTTACATGCTGCATGAGATTTAACTGACCATAAAGATTTTCCTTGTTTGTAAAATTAGCTCAGAATTAGAATACTTCTAGCAGGTACAAAGGCCTAAGGTGATCCCCATACCACCAAGGGAAAAAATAAAAAGGTTTGGTGGTGGTTCCAACACACACATACACACACACACACACACACACACACACACACACACACACACACACGTAAATATGTATATACATGCATGCATATTATTATTATAGTTTTATTGTAATACATGATAGGGACAATTCTAATAATTGTTACCTATTTTGGTTGCCTATGCTGTTCGCTTTGTATAATCATCATATACAAGTGCTTTGGGCATTTAGGAGAGTAAGTAATGGGATGTTTTAAATTAATGTTATGATATGCACTCATACCTATACACATTGTGTGTGTGTGCATGTTTGTTTTAGCATGTGCACACATATATGCTACATACTGCACATGTGTATGCATTCATATGGAGGTTAGAGGACAGTCTTCAGTGTTGTTCCTCAGGTACCATATAAATTTATTTAGTCACTTATTTATTTAGTTTGTTGGCTAGTTAATTTTGTGAGAAAAGTTGTCTCACTAACCTAGAAATTACCTAGTAAACTAGAGTGGCTGACCACCAGGCCCAAAGGATTCACTACCTCTCCAGTGCTAGGATTATAAGCACACACCACCATGCTTAAATATTTTTTATGTGGTTTCTGGGGATTGTGTTTAAGTCTTTACATGCAAGGCAAGTTTTACTAACTGAAGTATCCCTCTATCGCTCACTTACACATATATGTGTATAGGCTAGGAAGGAAAAGGATTGCTGGGAATTGAACATAGGGTGTCACACATGAGGGCAAGCCCTTGACCACTAAACTATATTTCCAGCCCTCCTATACACATTTTAAAAAATAAGGCAAAATAAATTCACATTCAAATGAAAGTGGAAATGTAATTGTCTCTTTCTTCAGGACAACATAGATCATTGGGTCCAAAAGACTCTAAGGTTAGAAGTCTGAAAATGGATGCCAGTATTTGGAGTAATGAGCTCATTGAGGTAAGTCCTGGTCACTGGGCTGTGTGAGCGAATACTGGAGGAGACTAGCAGTAGGCAGCGATTCTTTTTCTAAAGAAGTTCTTAGATGAAATTCCCACTGTAGTATGAAAATGGCACATAGCTTCCCAAATTAGATAGTTACTTTTAAAATAAAGACTACAAAGAACTTTAATGATAATCAGGATATAAAGATGTACCAACTCTGAGGGAACTGAGAATTCTTGTTTCTTTTTTTAACACACATGGAAAAGTATTAGGAAAGGGATTGAACATATTTGGCAAAGTTTAGTATTCTTTATCTGGCCTGAGCTTTGTCATTCACCCACTGGTCCTATGTCACTGTTTCTGTCTCTGTTTCCTCTCCTCTTCCACCCCCTCTCCTTGAGACAGACTAGTAGTAGCTATTAAAATGAATCTGTCTCAATATGAGTTCAAAAAGTAAGGTTGTTTCTGTTACATTTGTGTAGCCTGTGCTTGGTTTCCAAGCTGATGCTGCATTAGAACTAGTAGTATCTGCTGTCCTCTCTCCTCATCTGCCTTGAGAGCACTGGCTTTCATGCTCTCTCCTAAATTTTTATATTAAATTGGGTTCTAGTTTAGGATGTAAATCAATTTTGAAGGTGCAAACACATTTAATGAAATTATACATTTTTTGCCTTTTCCATTTCAGCTATTTATTGTCATTGGAAACAAGAGAGCAAATGACTTTTGGGCTGGTAACCTTCAAAAAGATGAAGAATTGCACATGGATTCACCAGTCGAAAAGAGGAAAAACTTTATCACACAGAAGTACAAAGAAGGAAAATTCAGAAAGACTCTTTTAGCATCTCTGACAAAAGAAGAGTTAAATAAGGTGAAGTAAATATAACACTATGCACAGATCTTAATGCCATATAACATTATATATCAACACTCCTAGTGTAGATTAACAGACACTTTATTACCAGATCTTAATGCCATATAACATTATATATCAACACTCCTAGTGTAGATTGTTTAACAGACACTTTATTATATTTGAAATGTTTTAAATCTCTTCTCCCCAACCAAAACTGAATAATAGCAGAACAAGTCTTCCAGAGAATTCATGATGGCTTGGAAGGTTCAGAAGGAGAACATCCCAGGAACAAGACAGTGGACAGAGACTTTGAAGCCTTTACTTACTTCTTTACTCCACAAGGAGTAGCCCTTTGATTCCCACTGACTGATTCAGGTCATTGATTTTATTAGTATAGGAAAAAAGGAATACAGGCTTCATAAACACATTGTCCAATTTGCATTTCTTTTGAGAACTTGACTCACATTCCCTTCCCATGAATGGTGTATGTTCTTTTAATGGCCAGGCTCTGTGTGCTGCGGTAGTAAAGCCAGATGTCCTGGAGACCATGACCCTGCTGTTCAGTGGAGCGGATGTCATGTGCGCGACAGGAGACCCTGTGCACAGTACACCCTACCTGCTGGCCAAGAAAGCTGGGCAGAGTCTGCAGATGGAATTTCTCTACCATAACAAATTCTCAGGTTTGTCCCTCACCCCATAATATCTGCTATTTTCAGATATATCCCTGAAAAAAAGAAACACAAATACATTAACTTTTTGACCAAAAAAATTATGTAATTATTCAAGTACTGCTTTATGGTGGAAAAAGTATAGGATTTGTGTATCTTTTATGTTCTTCAGTCTTACAAATGGAAGATTAAAATAGTTAATCCCACATAATCATTTCTTTCATAGTTAAATCTTGTTTTCATATTTGAATGATAAGTATGGCTTAAGTGCTTATTTGCAAATTTTATACAAATTAAAATAAATCTCTCTGTATGTATTTGGTCATAAATCAGGTCCTATATTGCTTCTAGTTCCAAACTCCATCACAAATTCCTAAACAAAAGGGAGCTTTATCATATTTCACATTTAAGTGTAAAAATGTCTTTGCCTTTTCTAGACTTTCCCCAGCATGATGTACATTCTGAAGGTGGGTCAAGTCAGGAGGCTGCGCAGTCCACCTTCCTCTGTGACTTCCTATATCAGGCTCCTGCCACTGCTTCCCGGGTCTCTACAGAGAAAAAGCTTCTTGAAGGTATCATTTCTGCTCCTTTTAGATTTTGTTTCTGGAAAAACTCTTTTACCTGATGTTTGCTCATTTGTAGTGATTATTCACTGGAATTCTTTCCTGTATCCCTTATCAGAAATGCTCCCCACTAGAATTGTTTCAGATTTCAGGTTTATTTTGTTTTGCTTTGTTGTTCTTTGTTTTGGGGATATTTCATAGCCTTTACTAACTAAATGTTCCTAATACAAATAAAAAGATTATCAAATCTAAGAAATTATAAATTTATGGCTATTGAGTCTACACTGAATTTTTTTTTCCGGATGTTTGGAGCACTTTTAGTTTCAAATTTTGATTATGTGTGTTTAAGCTTTATTTTTTAAAATTATATATCTCAAGTAGAAATACATTAGGATAAGCTGTGCATCATTAGATATTTCTGAAAAAAAAATTCTATCCTGTCAGCTGTCAGGCTCTGTTTTAAGGATTTTGTGCCCAGTATTTGGTGGCTACATAAAGAGTCTAGACCAAGCAGATGTTAAGTAGTTTTCACAGGAAGGAGGGAGGAGCCTGTTGTGATGCAGTGATTCAATTGGCTGTTTCGTCTTGACTGTAATCTGATGGGGAATAGTAGGAAGAAATACTATTTTCTGCTTTAAGCCTATATGTGTACATATATATGTTTAAATATATATATATTTAAACAATGCAATGATTTTTATTGTTGTCTTTAACTTGGCCTAAGGAATAATAAATGCCATGCTTTCCAAAAGGTTTGAGAGGGTAAACCACACATCAAATATAGCTATTACTAATAAATATTAGTATTACCATAAATAAAGTGCTTTCCAATACCTTTGCTGATTTAGAGTGTTCTATAGCCATTCTTCTGACTTTAATTTAGTGCAGATAGTCAAGAACTTGAAATTTCTTCAAATTTTTCAATATAGCAAATTATTATCTAGACTAATAGGCTCATCGGATCTCTTTAGTCTTTTTTCAAATATAATTTGAAAAAAGAACCCTGGAATTGAGTCCTGCACATTTGATGCTATAAAAATTTATTACTGAGTCTGCTCTGTTAGATTTCATGAGTTAACTTTAAATATTTTTGGTACAGTTTACATCAAAACTAAAAGATGTTCTTTTTCTGTCCATGTGATTTAAGTTTTACCAAGTGTTGTGTTCAAGATCTTTGTAGATACTAAAATAACTGCTCATGCTCATGTCCCCTGCATAAAGTGGGGCAGTATTTGCATGTTACTTATCGTTCTTTCTCCCATATGTTTCTAATCATCTGTAGATTATTTTTATATTGCATGATAGGAATTCTCTGTAAAAAGTTACTGCCAAATATTGTTGGGAGATACTGACAAGAAAAAAAATTGTTTACATTTAGAAAATATGTAAAACATTTGGGGGTATTTTTCATAAGTTATTGGCTTAGATCTATAGGTCCAGTACCCATAGATATGTAGAGCTGGCTGACTATACATGAAAGTTAATTAGGAGGTTTTTTTTTTCCCCCATCTGGAATGTTTTTCTAAAAGTAATTTCAAGCAGATATCTAAGATTTAGTTACATAGTGCACTGGAAATTATTTCATTTATATATTATCTCCTGGTAAGATAGTCTTTGAGTGTCTTTTTCTATCCGATTAATTAGCACATTTTATAGAATCATGTTCAAAACAGAATCTGCTGACACCAGCCCAGCTCTGCTCATCATCCAGCCCTGCCTATGCTATTGTACTACCTCTTTGTCCACTTAGAGTTGCCTTAGCTTCCCTGCAAACTTAAAAAAAAAAACAAAGCAGACTTAATTACTTTCAGAATAGAATTGGGATCCTGTTCATCTGTTACTCAAGGGCAAACAGTAGGATCCCACTGCAGACCAATGACTGGTACTTGTGTTTAGGACCTGGAAGTTCTCTTTTGCTCCACTCTTTATTTGTGGGCATTCCTGGCTCCATAGCTTCATCTGTTCCTAAAAAGGCTGCATTCTTTCCTCCTGACCAGCTGGAAGTCCTATTTCCAAATTGATGCTATCTTTCTTTTCAAGGGTTGGTTCATTGCCACATCTCAAGGTCTGTCTGTCACCTTATTCAAATGTCCTCTACATTGTTAGATCATCATCAACTAAGGATGCTGTGCAGCTCCAATATGGCACTTACCAAGTCCAAGATAGCTCCTTCTTCATTTGTTTATTTCCCTTTCCCTGGGGAGTGAATACTCAGTCATGTATTGGTTCTCTCTGTTTTGTTCAGATTCATTAAATATTTAGTGTCCAAATCAATGTTAACACTTTGTTACTACATGATAAATATTTGTGGAATGAGACTGTACCTCATTGCTAAGAAAGTTGCTAGCAGCTTTAAATGATCAAAATAACTTGTTAGTAGATACTAACAAGTCTTTGATTGTATGTATGGTTTGATCGTTAGCCAGTTGTTTCCTCAGAGTTTGAATTATCAGTAGTTAATTAAGAATAAAAACCATTAAATGAATAAAATTCCAGAGAAATGCATTAATTTAAACTAAGTATCCTATAGTTATATTATTATGTATTGATACGTTCCCACAATACATAATTTATAATTTAAACTTCAAGTATGCCTTGGAAAATCTTATATTTAGGGTTCAGTATTTTCTAGGTTTCAGGTAGAACTGAGAGTCTTGTCATGGGTATCCCTACTGCCATGCAGAAATGGGGAAAGTTTCACATCAAAAGATAAAGTTGCTGGCATAAAGCACATTTTGCTAAGAAAAAGCAGAAGAAGCTTCATCAAAAGATAAAGTTGCTGGCATAAAGCACATTTTGCTAAGAAAAAGCTACTCCAAGAAGCAGAAGCTAAACTCTGAATAAGCATGTGTTCCTGGGATCCTTATTGGCCCTCTCAAGATATGGTGGTGCTGCTAATATTGCTGAATTCCAGCTTTATAGGAAGGAAATGAATTTGTTTCCAAAGATGTAGAGATTAAAGTGTGGCTGTCACCTTTGCCTCTGAAAGGCAAGTGCTGGACAGTACCACTCCATCAGCCCTTGTCAGCACAGGCAGAAAAAAAAAATGATTCAACAGGAAAACAGGGAATGAAATGTATGCATTCTTCAGAGTTACAGAGGCTCCACATTGTCAGTACAGCTCTTCCAGATCTCAAGTTCTTGTAGCTCTTGCTTATGAAGACAGATCTGTATTTTGCCTTTTCTTTTCTCGGTTTAGTGTTCATGAAAAGAAAGATTGATAGCCTTGTTATACCTCAGCACAGAGCTGAATAATAGCATCCTGGTTTTGTTTTCTGTTTCCCTCCTGCAAGCCTGTGTGTTTCCCTTGGTATCTGGCTTTGATTAGTTTGTGCAGCCTTTGCTTTTTAAAAAGAAAGGGGTTGATAGGGTTTACTAGACTCCTATTTCATTCTGTTTATACTTAATTTCATACATTAAGGAGGAATTTTTAAAGTCCTTTATTCTAGGAAAAGCCTAAGTTGTTTACTTTTTTTTTTTTTTAAATGTGTTTTCAATGCCAAAGCATATTGTTTTAAATGAAAAAAATTACTGGTGCGTATTCCTCTTACAAGTGAAAGCTGAATATCATCACTTTAGGAAATTTAGGAAATGACTTCATGGTTTTGGAAAATAATAACTTTGCCTTAACTACATTAGATTTATTGTGCACACACTTATTAGAATTTGGGATTTTTCTACCATGACACTTTAAAAGTGCTTATATTGTGTGATCATGTAATATGCACACAGGTGGTTTGCTCAGTGGTAAAGGGTAGCTTCCAGATGTTACTTGTTTGAATCCTCCTCCCCTCTTATACTAACTACTCATGTGACCTGGGGAAGCTTAGTTTCTCCATGCCTATAAAAAAGCTACAAGATGGGGCTCAGAGGTTAAGAGCACTGGCTTTTCTTCCAGAGGTCATGAGTTCAATTCCTAGAAACCACATGGTGGCTCATAACCATCTGTAATGAATTCTGGTGCCTTCTTCTGCATTGCAGTCATATGTGCAACCAGAACACTGTATGCATAATACATAAGCAAATCATTTTTAAAGGGTACAACAAGACAGTGGTTTGATGTCATTCTGCAGGCTCCATGGATTCATACATATAAGATGGGTAGAACTTGTATGGCCTGTGAACATGATCAAGACTGATGGAACTGTGCATGAAGAGAGGAACTGTTGAGGGCTCACTGTAAGGACAGCGGCTTTTGGAATACTGTCAGCTTCTTTGTTTAGGTGCCTTGTCCTCTGAACTTCATTTTACTACCCTAGGTCTAAACTAGAATATCCATATCACTCCATGGAATACTGTAATTGATTGCCTGTGGAATTGCACATAGGATATGGATAGATCCTACATGAATGTTTGTCTTCCTTGTCCCAAAAATCCAACTGAAGAACAATTAAGAACCCATTCTTTGACTTTCACCTCACATACAGATTCTTCTCTGCTAACCAGATGAGTCCTGAGAGTCACCCATTATATGGCCCTGATTTCATTTTGGTGGACATTCTACAAAAACTGACTTTGCTTTCTGTAACAGAGAAGGGTTCTTTGGGGGTATTGACAACACAATTTCACAGGTTTTTCATTGCGTCCCAAATCAACAGGAATGTCACGATTTCCTATCACACCTTTGTTATTCTAGATCTTTGAAGAGAACCATGCCTAGCTTGTCTGACCTCTGGCCCATTTCTAGAGCAAGTGATGTTACAGTCATGTCAAAGCTACAGGACTGGTTATCTTCAAGCCCACATTTGAATGGAGCTCCCTCTTTAAAGAGATCTGTCATTTGTTTCCCATTAGAAATCACCTAATTAGATTCAGCATTCACATTTCTTCTGTGTATAATTCCATTGGGTACTGTGTGTTTAAGGCCTTTAAGTGGTTCCCAATTGTCTTCCGAGAGAGGAACAAACTTGAAGGACTATGAGGGTCTTACCTCTGCTGAATGCAGTAGTTTTGTTTTCCATTTCCTGCCATCCTCTGTAACCTGAGATCATCTGGCCAGGTAGGGTATTCACAGTGTCCCTTTCTGTGGCTGCCTCCTCCTGTTGTTTCTCAGGAGCCTGGGTGATTTTCCCTTTGAATCCATGTGCTATTGTAGAAACCTGCTCTCCAACCCTAAAAGACTACATTGTAGAAGCTGTAGGAAGGATGGGATTTTCTCTCACTGTTCTCTTCTGGGGATGCTCTGCTCCTTCATTGCCCCTAATGGGGCTACCTGACTGTTATCATTCCACACACATTTCCCATTAAGGGGATTGTAAACAGCTGTGAGGATTTGGTGTGGAATAGTAATCTCCGGCACTGTGTGCCTTTGTGTCATTTTTGTTTTATTCTTTTATGAAGGTTATTCTCCTCATCTGTTTTTTCAAATTAGTGCACAGACTCCTTTTGTTAATATATAGGCTTTCTTTCTACAATATTTTAGGGAAATATTTTAGTTTAAAACTTACTGGTCTTCCAGGATTTTTTCTTCTGTAATGTTTCGACATACATACTGTGACTCAGAGTTTTGAATCCCTGGAATACCTCATTGCCTTCCTCTAAAAACTGATCATGCTTCTGTTAACTTCCCTTTCCTGTGGCTATGGAGGATTTAATCTGCTTGTTGTTCCTCAGTCACCTTTGCAGGTTCTCTTACTATGTCAGTCCTGCCTGCCTCAGGGTTTCTGGCTGTGGTTTGGTTAAATGTTGTATTGTCTTTTTCTCAGCTTCTCATGGCTGCTCTTCCCTAAGAGTCCAATGAAGGAATAAAACAAAATTCAAGAATCAAGCCAATGTATTTGTTCTTTCATAGTTTTGACTTAATTTGAGACTTACAGAAACTTAGAAGAATGTACAAAGAATTTCCATTTATGTATACATCTCATAGGATACAAATATTAGTGTTTTAATTTGCTTTATCCTCATATTTATATTTCTCCCTCCCTCCCCCCTTTCTATGTGTGTGTGTATGTGTCTTTCTCTCACTCATGCTTTTTATTTACTTGCTATTTTCAGATGTTTCCTTTATTCTAATTATCTCATTGTATATTGCTTTTCAAGAAGATTTGCAAGTGAAATAACCATAGTGAAAGAACCATATTACCAAATCAAATTTAGGAAGTCCTCTGATTTCTAGGCTTCTTTTTGTTGTTGTTGTTGTTGTTTTTCCAAAGTAGTTTGTATTGGATGCTTTCTGTCAAGTTTAACATTTTAAAAATAATATTATCATTTATTGATTATGTGATTATCATTCTGCTGTGAACTTAGAAGTTCACAACTTATCACCAAGTTGGTGTCATCAAGCAACAAAGATGTAGCCCTTCATACTCCTGGTGTCTGGGTTTGTCAGCATCACTGGGTTAAAATCAAGGTGTCTGCAAGGCTGTCCTGAGGGCTCTCAGAGAACTAAATGCTCCATGGTTTCTATTAAATGGTTGGAGTCAATTGGAAGGCTAAACCCGGTCTCTTGCAGAGTATTATATGAGTCTAGTTGAGTCCTGGCTCTTATCTTTTATTAAATGTGGCAAGATAATTGACAGATACTCTGTTTGGTGAGTGGGATGTCATGTATCCACTTTGTTCCTGTAGTAAGCTTTCCTGCTGCCTCAGGCAATGCTTGAGTCATAGTTTAGAATTTGACCTGTTGCTCTCTTCAGAGTAAGAGACCTAGTTTTCTTGTAGCTTAGGAGTGATGTTGCATAGCAACTTTGCATGGGGTGAGGGTAGGGGATGGGGTGGGGAGTAGAGGTGGGTGTTGGTGGTAAGATGTGGGTTGGGGTAGCCCTACCTGGACAAATACAAATTTAATTTCTCCTCTTCCCATTCTGTATTCATGAGGTGTGAGCCCACTGACCCATTCTGAAACCTTGTAGGACATTTCTTAATTTGTCATGATTGCTTTTATTTGAATGTACCGTCTGTTTTATTTCAGAAGAATCCATTTTGTTTTGTTTGCTTGTTTTGATTTTTATGAAGTCTCTCTCTCTCTCTCTCTTCTCCCTCTCTCTCTCTCTCTCTCTCTCTCTCTCTCTCTCTCTCTCTCTCTCTCTCTCTCTCTCTCTCTCTGTGTGTGTGTGTATGTGTGATTCCTTTGAAATTAGATCTTGTGTCCTACAGTAGCATTGGCTTAGGGGTTAGGGAATGGGAATTGATTCATCTTTGATATATTTCCTTCCTATCAAAATGCTTTTTTTTGTAAATAGCATTACAAAGTGTTTTATGAGGGGCACAGTGCAACCTTCCATCTGATAAAGGCATTCTATGAAGACAAAAACATGGAATAAAAAAATGAAATGAATTCTTAGTGCACACAGGCATATATGTTTTGGTCCTAAGAATGGTTCATCAACTGTTTTAATATTCTGGCTCAGGGTCTCTCTCAGGTCTGTAGTATCTATGCAGGTATTCCTTTTGTGGAGGTTTGGTCAACTGTCCTGAAATTGGTCACTCTCAGGTAGCAAGAAACATAAATAGGTTCCAGAGCAGTAAAGGCTTCCTTTATACTTTCCTGTTCACTTAATTTTCCCTGGTTTCCTTTTCTGCTTATCTTCATTCTCTGAAATACACTCATTAAAGTAATCAAAATGCACAAAATTCATACCTGCATATCTTCCACAGCTAAAACCATTTTTTTTGTGGCTTTCCCCCCATAGACCTAATCAAGAGTTAGCAGCCTTTTCCTCAAAGGATCTCATAGCAAAATTTTCAACTTCGTGGGTACGATTACTTCTGCCCTATTTTAGTTCAGTCCTTGTAGTGGCAAATGAGCCACAGGCTATGCACAAAGAACAGGTGTCACTGTGTGCCAATAAAGCTTTATTGTACCATGTGATGGTGGTTAAATTTCACCTCTATTCATGATGTGCTAACCCCTGTGAAAAAAAGAACTTGAAAACTCCTAAATAAGACCCTATGGACACTGCAGAAGCTGAACACTTCTTATGCATCCTTCAGAATCAATAGATGAGGCTTTAGTTTTGTTCTAAGTTTGTTCTCCCCATAATGTTCTGTGAAGACATCAGTCTTTGTGGTTCCAGAGCTGTTTTGCAGCTTTTCACTCTATGAATTTTTTTGCTTCTCTGGTCACCAATGTCATATTGCTTTTTGTCTGGTACATTCTTTACAGTGAGATGTTAGTTTCTTTGAAAGCAAATTGTATCAGCTTTATAGCCTATATGGTAGTCTGATGCTTGTTTTGTAAAAAAAAAGGATTTGTCTATTTCTTTATTTGAATGCAGTCATGGTTTATTCTAAAAAGTTTATGTTATAGGTCCATTTATTTATTTGCTTTATTTTCAATTCTTAGAGACAAATAAAAAGTGGTGTGTTTTGGAAGGCGGCTTCTTGAGTTACTATGAAAATGACAAGTGTACCACACCCAATGGCACCATTAACATCAGCGAAGTTATCTGCCTGGCTGTCCATAAAGAGGACTTCTATTTGAATACTGGGTATGTCTCCCCTTGAGCATCTATCTGGGAGGTGAAAGGGATTTGATAGTCCCTGTACCAGGTGATGAGGATTTAGTTATCTTTTATGTTCTTTCTTTGCCTCCTATTAAAAAAATTCTATGGTTTCTTCAAGCCAGTTCACTTGATCTGAAACTTCCACAGGAAATTCTCTAAAAATTAGTTAGTGCTATAATATTCCATTGTTGATCATTGATGTACTCTTGTTTCTGTGCTTAATGTTAATAGTGGACTAAAAGCAAAAATTGTGTATTTGTTGAAAGGGCATCATATATAAAGCAGATGAGAAAAGAGAAGGTTCTGTGAATATTGGTTTATGTTAAAATGAACAAAATAACAGATGAACACTACCACTGAGAAATATCCCCAACCCTTAGACATATTAAATATCACATTAAAAGATGAATTTTGAGATATATTTGGGTACTTTTGTGGTCTGAAAATGTTGAAATTAAAAGCTTAAGAATTATTTATATAATATATTTTACTTACTTAAAAACTTGGATGAAACCTCTGAGAGATTTTTAGAAACAGCCTGAGAGATACTAATGTGAGAGTTTGTTACTATGTTTGCTTTACAGTGTAGTTAATGAAAATGTATAAACATTAAAATAAAAAGCAATGGTTTTAGGAACAAAGACTTTAGTAATTTTTATTATGAAAGACTTTGTGATGATGTGATTTATATTAAATTACAAGAGCTCTATTGTCATTATTACATAATTACCAATATATCCTACTTGAGAGTCATTGAAGGTGCTATTTTTCTATTGAATAACTGTCAATGTTGTATAAACTGATATTAATTTGCTTTTCTTTTGATTTTTAAAGTTTTCAATTACATTAATTTATTCTGTGTGGTGTTGTCTTTTGATTGTGCTTGCTGTAGGCCGATCTTTGTCTTTGAGATCTACTTACCTTCAGAACGTGTCTTTTTGTTCGGAGCTGAAACATCTCAGATTCAAAGAAAATGGACAGAGACGATAGCCAAGGTATTTAAATTGTATATTTGCTAAGTCCAGGAAGGATAAAGAAGCTTGAAGTCTCTATTTGAGGTTCAAAGATCCATGAACATTTTAGCTACAATTCTATGAAGAAAGTTTTCATATTTTCAGAGCTGGTCATCATAGAAGGTTAAAAGAAGACTTCTAGGGCCCAAAAAGGACTAGCAATTCATGTAGAACATTGATAAAAATCATTCTTACAAGCTATTTCTGTATTTTTGATGATTTTGTTAGAGTCTTCATATTATAAAGTCAGTTGTTTTTCCTGTGCCTTCTCATGAGTATGCTACTTACCCCAATGTACATGAGGAAAAGAACAGATTTATCAACTGATATGAGTGGAGCACACATGGGAACCAGATCATTTCTATGATTCCACCAAACAAGAAAGACTATTTCCTATATACTAAGAAAACAAGGCATATTTTGCTGTTGTTTGAAAATATACATTACCTATTTTTTAAACTCCCATAGAAGTTCTTTTTTTTCTAATTAGCTTCAATTAGGTATTTACTTAGAAGTTTTAAAAATAAGAAACTGAAGATAAGTTTTCCGACTTTCCCTCTATCTGTAGTTAAGGAAGGGCTTTCCTATTTTCAATATCTTTCTTACTTTTCTGTATTTGTTTTAACAGCATTTTGTTCCCTTTGTTGCTGAAAACTTAACAGAAGCTGACTATGATTTGATTGGTCAACTCTTCTACAAAGATTGCCATGCTCTGGACCAGTGGAGAAAAGGCTGGTTTGCTATGGACAAGTCTAGTTTGTGTTTTTGCCTTCAAACACAAGAAACTCAGGAAGAGAGAATGCACCTAAGAAGACTACAGGAGCTAAGTAAGAGAACCTTGTTGTTGACCCTTATTGGGACATATCCTGATTGCATGTGTAATTGGAAGCTTCAAGTGGATTTGGAATCCTTAACCCCAAACTTGTGACTGAATTATAATAATTGTATCTCTAAGCACATTTTAACATTAAAAAGAAATATTCATTCTTTTATCTCTCCAGCAATCAGCACAATGGTTCAAAATGGAGAAAAATTAGATGTGTTACTCTTAGTAGAAAAAGGGAGGTAAGTATCTTCCCTCCCTCCTCCCCATTTCTCAGCTAGAAAGTAGGGTATTTTGGTAAAGTTCTTAAGGGATAACCACTATCTTAAAATTTTAGAAACTCATATTAATGTCAACTCTGGTAGGCTTTCATCACAGAGTATAGCAAAAAGGTACATTTTTTTTTCATATGTCTTATGACAAAGTAACATGATAGATTTTTTTTTATAGTTTTCTGTAGACCTGGGAGCTTCTCATTTAGGCATATGATAGGACTTTGGATGATTGTAGGTTTATTTTTAGGGTCAGGAACACTACGAATGGCCTGTTCATGTGAGGCATTTACAGCTAGAACTTGGTTTCTTGAATTCACTTGGATTTTCAAGAACTATTAATTAAGCATCTCCTATGCATCAGGATACTTGACTTGTGAGGGATAGCGTGATGTGAAAATGAACAACATAAATATGCCCTCATAAATCAATTATGGTAGTGGGGGATATGATACAAATCAACAACAGAACCCCAAAGCAGACACACAAACAAAAGCCTATTCTTTATCAGTGCCTATCAGTTATAAATCCTCTGAAGAAAAATGATCAAGTTAATGAAAGAGTGAATGAGAACAGTATTCTGTGTTAGTGATGATGAGAGCACAGATATTGTGATGAATAAATGTCCGCATAAAATGAATCGCCCTGTGATGTAACACATCTAGTACTGTGTCCCAGACATGCAGCCATTGATAGTCAAAGATTTTGTTAGATGTCTGCTTGTTATGCACAAGGGTGTTGTAGCTCATGGGGGAGGGTAAAAGTATGAGAAAACAGGAAGAAATTATTTCAGACATATCCCCAGGCCCTGATCATAAAGGACATTGCAAGTAACATTATGTAAAGAAAAATATTTTCTTTATTCTAAGTATGATGATAAGTGACTCAAACTGGATAGTTGAATTTATCTCATTTATATTTTAAAAAATCATCTTCTCTGACTCCTGATGGATAACTTTGGGGTACAGTAGTCAACTTCACTGTCCAGTTAGAGTTTTGTCACAGAGTCAAGCAAGAGTGGTTGGATGTATCAGTAAAGAAGATATGTTGATAGATGAGATCAGTGTTCTTCTCAAGCGAGGGTGGCTCCATTGTTTTGACTCCAACATTATCCAACTTATGGCACTGTTTTTGAACTAACTGTACATATATAATAAAATTGGATTTTAGTAAGATTGGAATAATTTATTAAGAACTCATCTTTGGAAATAGTAACGTGGAGATGTGTATTAGCAAGATGAAAAGTAAGAAATATGGAAGAATTAGAGTAAACAAAATATGGTGATGCACTCATTGCTAACTCATTTTCCTTGCCTCTCCCTGAGAAGTTACCATTTATAACACAGACCATTTAAGAGTAACTGCATTTATTACAGCTCACATCTTAGTAAGGACAATCTTTCAAAGATGTTTAGAGGATAATGAGATTAGAGATAGGATATTTGACCTAGGAATTCAATATGTGCACAGTTTCTTTTATGAGGGCTTGGACTTGAATAAATTCACAGGATAAAAAGAGACCAGAAAAGGGAGGGATTAGAGGTGTAAAGGGCCAAAGATAAAACAGTTATCCCCAGTTGAGACACACTGAAAGCTGTTGGATGATGTGGGACATTGAGCCCACTGGTGTTGCTTTGTGGACTGGACATAAGGGTGAGTCCTGGGCTTTTAGTCTGGGTGACTGCAGGAAGAGTGCACATATTCAGCTGTCTCAAACTTGGCTTGATAATTATTGCCATGACTGTTGAAAAGTTGTTTTAATGCTCTGCCAAAATAACAGAACTTTATCACATTATGTATTTTTTCTTTTCCTTTGGTTTGTTAGATCTTTGGTAAATAATGACTGTAAGCTTAAAATAGAGTTTGGATGGCTGATAAAATTGTTGCTTTGGAAATAAAACAACCTCCAATTACTCACATTGATGTAGAGATAGTGTAAATAAGTTAGGTTCAGGGAAACCAAGAAACTGCAAGTTTTAGCCTTTAGATTTTTATTTCTGTTGTTTGTTCTTTTGCTATTAACACCTTCAACCATAGACTTGAATCATAAATAAACTTAATGAATTAATTTCACATATTTCCCATCCCTGTCTAACTTTGTGTAAATCCATTAATATTTCTTAGTGGCAAGATGGAAAAAGAATTCTCTGAGCTGAAAAACTTCATAAATTGATAATCACCTACAGCATATAGCCCCTATTTAAATATATATTTAAGCTTGATAATTATCTCTATATGCATATCATGAGTGTATTTAGAGAGAGGAATATTGCAATAAAATTTTCCACGCACAGAGCTATTTTTTTCCAAAAAGCTCTAAGCAGAAGGTAAACCAGATGGCCTCCGTTTAATGTGTATTCTTTGTGTTCTTAAAAAATTACTATTTTGGAAAATAAAGCTTTCATGATCAAACTTAAGGGTTTCTGATGTACAGGTTGGGGTTGTTCCTGGGATATATAATCTGTGTCCTTTACAATGTCCTCCTGGAATTTCGTTGTGAAAAAAAAATCATCATGGTTTGAGTAGATTTCATGTTAGTGAATATATAGACCAAGAGGTCAGAAGGCATTTTCCTAGACAGTTGATCTCCACTTGACTGCAATACTCAGCGGATTAAAACACCTTTTTCTCAAAATTAGAAACTGTCTGTGCTCCCTAACCCCCAGTCTCTGAGCATATCTTTCAAATAAGCTGCTTTCTTCGCTGCCTTTGTTTCCCAAGGCTCATGCATACTTGCCAAAGACATCTATCAATGAGCCTTTACTGAAAGGCTTTGGTTATATTGAACAAAGGGAATAACTCAACTGTGTTATCAAAACAGGAGTGAAAGTGGTGTGTTTTGTGTGTGTTTTTGTTTTCAGTCCCTTGGCTGACCTATAGGAAAGCACATTGTGCTTGATGGCTCCCAAGGGTGATTGCATTTCAGTTTTAATTGCAAATCCCAGGCAAAATGAATTGAACACTGGGGAATAAACACCATGTCAGTATGTTCCACATTTTGGAACAGAGAACTTTGCTCATTTTGGGAGATTAGTACCTTAACTTTAAGGTCCTTATTTTCTATTAAATTATTTTGTATGTGCTTTCTTTCCTCTTGGAATTGTGCTTTATGGGAGAGGTTATGTTAGTGATCCTCCTGAGGCTAAATTATCTTAAAGTGGTTTCTAAATTGTGCATGTAATTGCAAATTAAACAGTAGCCCATTGCCCACAATATCAGCTTGACTGCTTTTGCAAAATTTGTGGTTTAATTCTTAGCAATGAGTTCATCAGAATTTTGCTCAAAAAAAAAAGGATGAGAATTTTTTGCTTAACCACACCTACAGATTTTTTTTTGAAGCAAAGGACTAGTCTATTGTACATTTAAAATGATTTTATGGTAAAGGGAATTTAGATGAATGGAGCTTGTTTCTATAAAAGATGGATTTTAAGTATATTTGTTTCAAAATTTGTTTTCATGCAAAGGTATCTCAATACACTAGTGTGTAAGGTTATGGGGAAAATCTGTCTGTATTGGTTCATGGCTGTACTCTAAATACTAAAGGCTGAGGCAGGGAGATTATAGTGAATTTAAGGCCAGATGGAGCTACAGTGTAAGATACTATCTTACAAAGCATAAAATTAATTAATTAATTAATTAATAGTTGGGAAGAAAATTGTAGAAAATGTTTAGGCTCTCTTCCGTGGTATATGTGAGCAGGAAAATCTTCCTCACAAAGGAAAAGTACATTTTTTTACTAGATCTTAATGGCAGTAGAAATACAATGTTGCAACTAAGAGATCAAGGTTTTCAAGAGTTAGACAGTGTAGCCTTAGAGAATTTGTGTGGACTAGGAACAGATGCAGTCCAAGGAGGACTTAACCTTGAGAACTTGAAGACAAAATCTGAGCCAGTGGCTTGAGAAGATAAGTGGATGACATGTTGCACTTCCAGTTAAATTAATTCTGAAGAATTTCAGGACCTTTTTAAGAATGCAGAAAGCATCATAAAAGAACATTTTAAAAGTTATTGTTAAATGTGAGGATGTGGGTTCATTCTGCAGTCAGTGAAATATCAACAAAGCTTTGAGCAGACTTGCAACAATTTTTTTTTCTCACATTCCATGTGCCAGTGTTTGTCTGATAGTGTGAGTGATGAGAGTGGAAAACTAGCTCTATCCTCTTTGAGGAATCAGGGGGCTTTAGACTGTTTACTGGGCTCTAGGCTTGAAAAGATGCAATCTATTTATAATAATATTTTAATTCATTATTCTTGTTGATGCTACCTCTGCATCTGCATATTTTCTTAATAATTAGCATTTTTCTTACTAAAAATACATCTCTGTATCCCATTTTCTTACATGAAGGAGTAGAAAAAAGTGTCTAAAGTAAAATGTAGATATTAGGGTCACACTGCTAAATGCAGTGTGCCAGACACCAGTTTCTGGCACCATGGGATCACGCACATGGCACATGTTGTTCCTCTTTAAATAACTAGAAAGCTTGACAGAATAGAGGAAGCAACTGTTTTCAGGTTTTGTAACAGTTGGTTTTTCTGGCACGTGATTACAGAAGGAACAGAATCAAATGGGGTGAACCTTCAGGTGGTCTGCACTTTCTCATACACTTATTGCACAGAGAACGGGAAAGCCAGGCATAATGTGAGAGATTTCAGGGATAGGAGACCCGTGAGCCTGACTTCACAGGAGTGTCAAAGCAGAAGGAAATATGTACAGCTTTGATGCTTTTGTAGTAGTTTTCTTTGTGTCCTTTCCTCAGTACTTAGCTGTAGACTTGCAGTGTGGATATCTAAGAGGTCAGGCACAAACACCTCCCACAATGTCACCAATGAAATAATGGTTAAGGCACAGATAATAGTGGAGTATGTTCACACTTCTTATCTACCTTGATGAGAATGATATTGGTACATATGTAGGACATTTAGTATTGATGTACAAAGGACAGCATCCTAGTATCTTGCCTGACACAGCC